CCTCCCGGGTTCAAGCGATTCTCCTGCCTCAGCCTCCCGAGTAGTTGGGATTACAGGCATGGGCCACCATGCCCGGTTAGTTTTATATTTTTAGTAGAGTCGGAGTTTCTCCACGTTGGTCAGGCTGGTCTCAAACTCCTGACCTCAGGTGCTCCACCTGCCTCGGCCTCCCAAAGTGCTAGGATTACAGGTGTGAGCCGCCACGCCTGGCCGAAAACACTTTTACCAAACACTGTTAAAGTGTTATAGTGGAGCCAGGTATAGTGGCTCACGCTTGTAATCCCTTGAGAGGTTTGGAACATGGGAGGCTGAAGCTGGAGGATCACTTGAGTCCAGGAGTTTGAGACCAGCCTGGGCAACAAAGCGAGACTCCTTTCTCTATAAAAAAAATTGAAAACACGGCCAGGTACGGTGGCTCACGCCTGTAATGCCAACACTTTGGGAGGCTGAGCCGGGCAGATCACGAGGTCAGAAGATCGAGACCATTCTGGCTAACACAGTGAAACCCCATCTCCACTAAAAATACAAAAAATTAGCCAGGTATGGTGGCAGACGCCCGTAGTGCCAGCTACTCGGGAGGCTGAGGCAGGAGAATGGCGTGAACCCAGGAGGCGGAGCTTGCAGTGAGCCGAGATCACGCCTCTGCACGCCATCCAGCCTGGGCAACTCAGTGAGACTCTGTCTCAAAAAACAACAACAACAAAAAAAATTGAAAACACATAAAAATTATCTGGGCGCGGTGGTTCATGCCTGAAGTCCCAGCCGTCTGGGAGGTTGAAGCAGGAGGATTGCAGGAGTTCAAGGCTACAGTGAGCTGTGATTGTTCCATTGCACTCCAGCCTGGGTGACAGAGCAAGACCTTGTCAATAAAAATAAGTTTTTTTAAAAACCCGAAGTTTCTTTGGTATTTAGAAGGAAAGCATCTTGAAGGCAGATTTGGTGGGGGAAAGACAAATTTGGGAAAATGAAATTATGGGGAACCGCTATTCCTTCCTTTATACATGAAACTATCATTGTAATATTTTTATCTTTCTCATGTTTTTCATTTTGATTTAACTGTTTGAAGCAGTAGCTATTTCTCAGTTGATGACAAGAAAGAGAAAATGTTTTATTCTCTTCCCAAAGTTAAAATCCAATATAAACGGTGCCCAGTGGCACTGATCCTAGTGGCAGTTACTCTTCTGTACATAGTGCCTCCCACAGTGGATATGGGTTTCGAGGCAGACAGAGCTCATCACCTCAGATTTTCATTCTGTTTTTTCACTGGGGCAATATGAACCCCCTCCTGATTGATATCTTCTTATCTAAAGGACTTTGATTCTTAATGAATGGGCAGGAAAAGACCTCCTGATATGTGAAGAAAGAGAGGCAACAATAGCAACAGCTTTCCTGAGGAGTGATTATTGTAGTGAAGTCAACCCTGAAACAATGGAGAATGAGGTCATGCCTGACTCATTTTGTTATTATACCCAGATGAGTTCATTGTGCAGAATGGGCCTTCTTGACACTTGTCTAATGACGTTTTGATTAAAATGAAATAATGTGCATACAAAAATGACCTGTTTACAGGAAAGAATTATGTATTTGTTGGTAACTACCAGTGACATCAATTCTCATTTCTTAATTGGCAGATACAGTATTTGATTTTAGGGTTAGACTTTAAAGGATATATCCAGCCAGGCATGGTGGTATGAGCCTATAATTCAAGCTACTTGGAAGGCTGAGGTGGGAGGATCACTAGGCTCAGGAGTTTGAGACCAGTCTGGGCACCCTAAGACCCTGTCTCAAGAAAGAAAAAATAAAAGGCTAGGCCAGACGTGGTGGCTCACGCCTGTAATCCCAGCACTTTGGGAGGCTGAGGCAGGCAGATCACAAGGTCAGATCGACAACCTCCTGGCTAACACAGTGAAACCCCATCTCTACTAAAAATACAAAAAAAATTAGCCGGGCGTGGTGGCCGGCGCCGGTAGTCCCAGCTACTCGGGAGGCTGAGGCGGGAGAATGGCATGAACCCACGGGAGGTGGAGGTTGCAGTGAGCCAAGATCGTACCACACTGCACTCCAGCCTGGGCAACAGAGCGAGACTCCGTCTCAAAAAAAAAAAAGAAAAGAAAAAAATAAAAAATAAACGGCTATATCATTCAACTAGCCCTCTGATCTGTGAATCTATTCTGGAAACATGATCAGATTTGGAGCAAGGACCCTTCCCTCCCTACCAGTTTGAGACAGCTCATATTGTTGGAAGTTCATTCTGTTCAGTCTCTCCCCCAGGAGGTTGCATGTTCACTGGCCTTGTTGTATGTAAGTCCTTGACAATGATCTAAGAAAACCTGAGTTTAAAAAAAATTTTTTTTCTTTGTCCGGGGTGGTGGCTTATGCTTGTAATCTTAGCACTTTGGGAGGCTAAGGTGGGCGCATCACTTGAGGTCAGGAGTTCAAAACCAGCCTGGCCAACATAGTGAAACGCCATCTTTACTAAAAATACAAAAAAATTAACTGAGTGTGGTGGTGGGTGCCTATAATCCCATCTTCTTGAGAGGGTGAGGTAGGAGAATCACTTGAACCTGGGAGGTGCGGGTTGCACTGAGCCGAGATCACACCACTGCACTCCAGCCTTGGCGACGGAATGAGACTCCATCTCAAAAAAAATAAAATTTTTTTTCAACACAAGGTCTCACTTTGTTACCAAGGCTGGAGTACAGTGGTGCAATCACAGCTCACCGCAGCCTCAAACTCCTGGACTCAGGAGATCTTCCTGCTTTACCCTCCGGAGTAGCTGAGACTACAGGTGTGTGTCCACCATGCTCAGCTCAAAAGCTGACTTTTAAATAAACCTTTTTATTAGTTTTATTGACTTGAAAAATATTGCTATAAAATTTTTCTATGGTTTTCAAATCTGTTCCAGTTGTCAGTCTTGTCCCTTTTCACCAAATACCTCTTCAGTACCTTTTTTTTTTCCCCCCTCCAAGATAGAGTCTTGCTCTGTCACCTAGACTGGAGTGCAGTGGCATGATCTCAGCTCACTGCAACCTCTGCCTCCCGGGTTCAAGCAATTCTCCTGCCACAGCCTCCTGAGTAGCTGGGACTACAGGCATGTACCACCACACCCAGCTAATTTTATATATATATATATATTTTTTTTTTTTTTAATTATACTTTAAGTTCTAGGGTACATGTGCACAACGTGCAGGTTTGTTACATATGTATACATGTGCCATGTTGGTGTG